GTTGTGCCGGAAATTCAACTTCAACATGGGCAACAACCCGTTACCAACGGAGGACAACCCCATCATAAAGTTCATAACGCACGAACCAGTCACCCTCTAGTGTGCCCGCCCTAATTTAAGTTGATTTCTTGATTGTATTCATTATTTAGTGACCGGTTAACTCCATAAATATGCACGGTTGCAAACGGGAAATAACCACGGTTGGGATAGCTCCGAAGCCAATTATTTTAATTATCGTACCCAAGCCGAGGGACCTCTGCAGGGTGAATGGCTGTCGATCCTTATCACGGGAATAAGACCAAGAGCTGCTTGGGTAAGCCTAAAATTTCATAATCTACAGTAAATAGATTTCAATCTCAAGTTTGTCAGTGCGGGTATAACAAGCTCGGGTAACTAAAAACTGACTGAAAGACTAGTTTGGCCACAAACTGATATCGAGTTAACGGCAAAAGTTTCCAAAGTTTAGAGTAGCAGAATTAGAACAATTGAATAATTTATTGCATAATTTATTTGAATTTACTTTAACTAAACTATTTTTTATACAAATATGACATTGAACTCCCTGAAAATTTTTGTATTGCATATAACTGAAATTGTTCAAGCATTTAACTAAAGTTGTTCAAAAAACTATAGACATTTGAAAAGTTTCCTTTGCGAATTGATTTTGCATAACATAATAGTGGGACGATCTTTCAAAAAAGTTTTTTTGCGCGGTTCAACTGTCACATTTTTGTACAAAATTTCATGTAATTGAAAACAATAAATTAGAAGAGCAGTTGCTAACTATAGAAGGATGTTTCAGTTATAAGTGAGGTTATAATAACACTTTTCTGCGAACCATTTGCAATGCTGGTGAGCAAAACTGTATTCATATTCTTCATCGATTTCAGAACGGGCGAACAGGACGACTTCTTCGGGACTTCTAGGGGTACCTGTTCGACCCGGGTTGTCCACAATTGCTTTAAGAGCGCTGAAGTCAGATATTTTTGTTAGAATCACTTTTTCGGCTGTGTCGAAATGTACAATTTCTCCGTTGCCGATGAATATTGCGTAGTGATAGAGCTCAGTTCCTTTTTCAGTCCTCCGAGGGCATCCTGTTCCAGTTTCCTTAAAAAATAATTTGGCGGGGAATCTAAGAATACACCCGGCAGTGAAAGTTTCCGGATCATCTGGCTTCATTGCCATCAAAAATTGTGTATTTTGAATATATTGGATCAATAATTTTACCAACAATTAGTCTGCGAATTTTCAAATGTTATTAATTGTGTTTTATGTTCTGACGTTCTAAAAGCTGTAACAATCGAGACGAAACTTAAATAACAGACCGTGCAGACGTTTTCTGAGATATGTAAGAAATAATTTGGCGTATTTTTAGTATTTTGTCATACAAATCAATTTATCGGATTGTGTTCACATAGTTTTTAACATGTGAATACGACAGAATTTTGCTCTAAATTGCGACAGAAACGATTGGCAGCATTTGAAAATATACCATTATGCAGAAACACATCATTGTATCGCCAAGGATAGGAGGAGACTCTTCTTGATCCAAGTTTTGAAGAAAGTGACGAAAATATTTGTTCTTTTTTAACCTTTTTTGAACCAACTTTTTTTGCACCAAATTTTCTTTTTTGAATCAAATTAGCTGGGAAAAACTAAGGGACTGCGCGACCATTGAACTTAAAGACCATCGAAAAAACTACAGATTTTCAAAAACGTTTTTCTACAGAAAATTATCATCGAACATTGAACATTTTTTTATTTGACTGTACACAATTTGACTGTACCAGGGCTAAGGCTTGAACAACAGTTAGATAAAAGTTGACTTCAATGGATCAGTTTTAGTGTCTTGAATAAGAAAAAACTTAAATGCATACATTAATTAGGTGCTGCAGAGAACATTTTTCGATTTTCAGAAGCAAAATTAAAACATCAACCCTGGTAACTTGCTTTTCATGAAGTAATCGTCGCCCAAAAAAAAAACATTTTTCACAAAAAAAGTCGATTTCGAAAATTTTTCTCGACACTCGTATAAATTAACTTAATATGAGTTAACTTATAAGTTAAGTAGAACAATTGACTGTGTGTGTGTGGGGGGAGAGATTGAATAATTTAAGTTGCGTTTTCAGCAGAATGAAAAAAAATCACAGTACACGTTAATTAGTCCATAACAAAGCCAAACTGAGAAAATTCAAACCACCAGAACTTTACTAAAAAATAATCGGAGGTAAGACTTCTTTCTACAATTGAAATCATAGAGACAATTCATTCAATGAAGTATAATTTTCGCCTTCATTTGTCTGAAAAAAAAACTGCTCGTATATCAGGTTAAAGCCCTGAATGTTCTCTCTGCACTTTAAGACCATTTAAAAGTTTTTTTAGGTTTTGTTTCTTTAAGTTTTGTTTCTTCAAGTTATGCCCCCAAAAAACAGGAATCGTAAACTCAAAAAGGATGTATTTAGCGTGTCGTATCCTTGTAATAAGACCAATTAAATTGCCCAAACGCAATTTAGAACGCATTGATACGCCAATTACGCGTGTTACTGTTACAAGAACGCAAAATATCGCACTTTAATTAATCCAAATTAGCCTAAAGAAACAAAATATGAGAAAAATTTAGAAAAATTGAGCTTCAGGCAACAATACTTTTCAGATGGTCTAACAATTGTTTTGAAAGCCGAACCTTGCCGGAATAAAAAACCACCCAAGCATGAAATCGAAAGAATATCTAACTTTTCTCAGGCTTGCATGACATCAATGACTTGTACGTCAGAGGCGTTTACAATCATTGAAGGATTCGCTCAGAAAGATTGTCATGAAAACTTTTGGTCTATTTTGGACGGTTTTATTTCGTACATAATTGAAACACAAGTGATGTATTTAAAATTAAAAAGCTAAGATCAAAGACTCGTGACAAGAATTTAAAAATTGAAAAAATGAAATAAACGCTTCTCCAGACAACTTTTTTGATTAAGGCTGTGAAAAGATCTCATGGTTTCTTGAGAAGACCTGGAAGGATTAAAAAAATTTTGAAGGGTCAAAAACAACACAGAAATTGATACCGGATACCAAATATCAGCCAAATATTAGACCAAATTGATACCGGAAATGAAAATGCAATCCAAAAACTCGCCTATCAGAATCAACTTTTTATCACCAGAATCTCCTCCGTAAACTGTATGAGTTCTCCAATATTTACTCAACAAGTCGACTTTCAAAGTAAGCCACGAATGTAAAAGCTTGGGTGGTTTTCTTAATTAGACAACTTTCCAAAACCTTTGCTGATTGGGGGAATCGATCGTTGGAACTTTGGGTTTCCATTGGGGCGTGCACACCACTATACTCACCTTAATCTATGTCGCCCTGAAAAGAGTCTATCTACACTGCTCGCTTAAAATTTCCCAATTGGGCAAAATGGAAAAAAGGTCAAAGTCAGTCCTGCTGGGAAATCTTGTATAAACCATTAAAAAGCTAAGATCAAAGACTCGTGACAAGAATTAAAAAATTGAAAAAGTGAAATAAAAGTCTCTCCTGACAACTATTTTGATTAAGGCTGTGAAAAAATCTCATGGTTTCTTGAGAAGACCTGGAAGGATTAAAAATTTTGAAGGGTCAAAAAAAACACAGGAATTGATACCGGATACCAATTATCAGCCAAATATTAGACCAAATTGATACCGGATAACAAATAATTTATAGACAACGTGGTGTGTGGGCCAATAATTGTAAAAATTGAGTTTCACGGCCTAGAGAACATCTCCAATGTTTTTCAGAGGATGATTGATACAATGACAGCGTATATCATGGGATTTTACCAGCGTATACATGGATCTACTCAGTTTTTTCAAAATGTACAATGTATTGATTGCGCTAATTGAACAGAAAGCGGCCATCATAAAAAAAAGTGTTTTTGATGACTTAATTGTACACAATTTCAAAATGCTGCAGTTTGAACAACTTGGCATTGAAGTTGTATATATGAAGATATGTTTTTGATTTTATTTTCGTTTTTCAAAAACATTTTAGTCGCAGAAATTCAATTTTAGCGGTATCAAGTTTTAAAACTTCATAGAAAAAAAATGAACAAAAATTATCCCGAACCATCTTAGAGTATGTAGTATGTTCTTCGACTCTTGGTAAGCGGTTATTGTATCGACCATTTGAAAACAGGAGAGGAACTTTTTATTCGGGTGTTTTTCATTCAGTTTGTTTTTCTTTCTTTCTTTTTTTTTGTTTCCACGCAAAATCAGGTATCACAAATACTCATCGGAATGAGTCGACTAATATATCATATCAAAGCCTTTTCAGTCTTAATTCGAATGGCATAAAAAGTTGAAAAAATCTCCTTGTATTGAGAAAAACTAGTTTAAAAACTTTGATTTTTGATCCAAAATTTAAGCCAACAAAGGACAGCCAGCAGGCTTAAAGTAGCTGATTTATACTTAGCTTAAGCCGCGAAAACTTAATTCTAGTGGAGTAAAAAAAAAATTTCGAATTTTTTTCAGCAAAAACTTGGGAATCAAAAATTTGCAAATTTGAAAAAATTCTCCAAAAAAACTTGATTTTCATAATGATTTTGTTTTTCTCATCGTTTATCTACGAAAAAAATGTCCAATTTGCCTGTTTTACTATGACTGTCGAATATGCCTAGGATTACTTTTTCGTTCAGATCCTTTTATCACACCACGCAGAAAAAAAATATAATAATTTGAAAAAAGTTTTTTTTGTAATTCTTAGACTATGGTTAGAACAATCTGTGCTACTTGCATAGTAACCAGCTATCCTTGTTAAATGTTTGAAACTGGGTTCGAGCAATTGAGAGATCACGCCAAATTGTAACATCTTTGTTTCATTGACTGGTATGGTAACTTTGATTCGCAGCCATAAAATAACAATCCTCAGCAGCGGGCAAACTTGCATGAAATTAGAGCATTCAAAAATGACAAAATATCTGACAACAATCGTATCGTTCATTGACACTCTGAAAGGAGAAATTTTTTATTTTGTATTCACGTATTGTCTTAAGAACGATTGCCATCAAACTAATCACTATATAATCAGCTTAACATAATGAACTATATTTCAATTCATATTTTAGGTTTATGAATGTTTCAATAAGTTAGTCCTTGTTTTTGGGTTCAACGTGTCAGAGCTAAGACAGACAGTTGCCCTCTTCGTCTTTTTCGGCACATTCTATTTCCAGTGTTTCCCCGTCAAATGTGTCGGAGGTATCGAGGAACTCCGAGCGAGATAAGTCTGTGTTGCACTTGGAACATCGGAAGCAACGCTCACAGAATATCTCATCCTTGTACATTATCTGCGCACCTGCAGAAAAAAAAACCCAATATGTTTAAATCTTTGCAAAGAAACTTTTTCTAATTTCAGTCTAAAGTTCTACAAGATCAATTGATAAGACCACTTTGAAACCATTTGATCCTTGCATAAGGCTTGAAACTACTTAAGTGACAAAATCATTAGAGTATGTACAAAAATGCTTGTAAACTCAGCGAAGTCCCATTTGCACTGTGGCTTTGAATGATTTGCGCGGAAAACACAAAATAGATGATCGAAAAAAATAATAATGATTTTTAGGAGTTTTAATTTCAACTTAAACTCACGCTTTGATCATTACAGTTTGAACAAAATGTCAAACACTTCGTATAAAAAAAATCGGGCGAGTTCGAAATCATTTCTAAGAAACCACACAATAGTTTTTGAAACCCTCCTTAATTAGAAAAAAAATTATGACGTAATATTTATCTATAAAATAGCCTTAACGTACCGTCAGCCTCAATGCTGAGACTACACAATGCGCATCCAGGTATCAAGTTGCCATTGTAGCATTGTGGACAGTAGAAGTTGCCCCCATACTCCACATATGCACCAGAAGTAGATTCACCATCATCACGTGACTGGGTTGACTGGCCTAGGGGTATCTGGCACCTCCAGCAGACAAAGCACTCCAGATGGTGGAAGTGTCCGTCTGCATCTTGAACTGTATGACCTCCTGCTATTAACTGAATCAAAACTTCAAAAGTCAATGAAACAAAAAAGGTCGAAAAGTTTCGGTTAAAGACTTCGGCAAGCTTTAACAATCATAAAAATAATAAATTCTAATCAAAATAATTATATACACTAAATTGAGTTCGGTAACTTTTGATTGTTGTTCAGACCAATCTCGAAAAGTGAGAAAAAGCTAATGACCTAGGATCCTTTTTTTCTTCAATGGCGCAAAATTTTCTCGAATTCCGATAGAAAAAAAAAGAAAAATTTCTATAGAAAAATTTCGATAGAAAAAAAAAATCTTTTTGAATAGGATTTTATGTATAAATACCTCTTCACACTGGTAGCACAACCTCTGCGGGAACCTACAGCAAAAACAGGATCTACAAATATATTCGTCATCTTCCACGCTTTCTCTTTCCTCGTTCCGTGAGTCAGATGGTACTATGGTGTACTCATTGTCCAGGCCAATTTCAGTCCAACAGTCGACGCATTTGAAACAGTCTTTGTGGAAGAATCGGCCACTGTTTGGAAGATCCACCCGCTTACAGCCTGTTTTAAAAAAAACATAAATACTGATAAATACCTATCCTTTCGGCTTGTTGCTTTGCAAATGTACACTTTTTTTCTAAAATTTTGAGTTTTTTTTTCTAAAATTGTATTTATAATTTTTTTTTCAAAATTTTTTTCATTGTTTTCTGATATAGCAACCTATGATTTTGCATGCGCATTTGTAGCACACAGCAGCTAGATCTCTCTCGTAACAAGTCCGACAGAACCTCTCTCCCCCGACTGAGAAATACTCGCCCTCGTTCAGTCTCGCCCCACAGGGGGACCCAGTGTGTGATTGGACAGTAGAGTTGTGGTCGCACACGAAACATGCTTCGTGGAACGAGAGAGAATCCTCGTGCACTGCGGCGCCAAAAATATCCTGCAAAAAATAACTTTACGATTTGTCGGCTGACTGCGGCACTGTTCGTTCCGCACTGACAAAAATGGATTTAGATTGGTTTTAGTATGAAAAAAGTATGCAGATTAAATTGAAATCGATTTAAGTTGTAGAAAAGTAAGTTAATAAAAAAAAATCAGATCAATTCCAGTCGATTTTCAATCGATTCAAATAGATCTTAAATCTGACCTAAAATGAAATCGATCTAAATTGATTTAAACCAATTTTTTTAACTTCTATTTTTTCTTCAAATTTTCGAATGACAGGAAAAAAATTGAAAAGTTTTGTTACATGTCGTTACAGATACCAAAATTGACTGAATTGCTTGAAAAACAAGATCAACCATCCCCCCTTCTTCTTCCCCCCCCCCCCCGCTGCTATGTAAAATACAAGGGGTTGTGCTCTGCACATTTTGATTGCTTGGGTCGAGCACGGTCGAGCACATTTGTTTCGGTCAAGCACGGTCAAAACATATCGAGTTTTGGTTGAGCACTCGAAATACACCAATTTTTAGACAAAACACCGATTCTGGTCGACACGGAAACCGGTGAACGAGCGCAACACGACATCAACGATTTAACACCGGGCAGTGAAAAGGGGAAAAGTGCAGGCGGAAAAAGAAAAGCAACGAAGGACGAAAGGATTTTTTCCTCGAAACTGATTTAGTTTTAACATTGATGATACCTCATTGTGGTCGGCCGTAATTCAACTGTTTGAGATGTGTGGGAGGCTTTGGATGATTTAATGTTTACCATTTTTCAACTTCGTTGAGATGTGTGGGAGGCTTTGGTTGACATAATGTTTTTATCAAGTAATTGGGTAGTTGCAGCTTAATTCTTAATTAGTTTTAAAAAACCAATATGACCTTTTTGGGGTAAAATTTTGGTTCCGTATATTGCAAAATGAATTGCACTATGATAATATGGTGACGTTCAAGCAATTTTGTGCAATAATTATAACGGTAAAGCTGGAGCCTTCTATGTATTCTAACAACAGTAACAATGGTGTAATCTGCAAACTTTTGTTTTTATAATTGTTTATCAATTTGATAGCCAGAAATATCTATGAACTCAAAATCTGATTTATAAAGACAATTTTCTTTTTTGTCAAATATGTTTATGCCCAAAATCTGATTTACAACGATAATTTTATATGATTTCATTTAATATTTTTGAGCTCAGAATCTGGTTTATTTTGACAATTTTTTTTGATTTGTTACATTTGTTAATGCACGAAATCTGATTCACAATGATGTTTTTCTATATTTTTGTTGCAAACTTTTGAGCTCAAAATCTGGTTTATATTGCCAGTTTTCTTGATTTTTTAGATATGTTAATGCACAAAATCTGATTTACAAAGATAATTTTCTAGATTTTTGTTGCATAGTTTTGAGCTCAAAATTTGATTTTTAGCCACCTTTTTCTCTATTTTAAACATTGGTTTTGGCCCAATATCTGATTTACTTCAATAGTTTTTTTAAATATTTTCATTGCTTATTTTTGAACTCAAATCTGATTTATATTGACCAATTTCTTCATTCTTTACACAGGTTTTTGCCCAAGATCTGATTTACAATGTTGCTTTTTTATGATTTCATTGCATATTTTTGAGCTCAAAATCTGATTTATTTTGACCAATTTCTTCATTCTTTACACAGGTTTTTGCCCAAGATCTGATTTACAATGTTGGTTTTCTATGATTTCTTTGCATTTTTTTTGAGCTCAAAATCTGGTTTATATTAGCAGTTTTTATTTATTTTTTGAATACTAAAACATCTGGTACGCGTGTTTTTTTTTGTAAATCAAGAATAAAATATTTCAATTAGTTTTCCAAATAGCATGTTTTTTCACCTTGTTGGCAAAAAAATTAATTTTAGTGTGTCGGAAAATCCATCCAAATCGATTTAAATTGATTTTTTAGACACTTAAATTGATCCAAAGTTTTGAAAAAGATCAATTTTAATCGATTTAGAATGGATTTAAGTGAGATTCTGATGGATTTAAGTGAGATTCGGATGGATTTTAGTGAGTCGGAAAATCCATCGAAATCGATTTACATCGATTTTAGACACTTAAATCGATCCAAAGTTTTCAAGAAAGATCGGTTTAAAACGATTTGAAATCCATTTTAGTTCGTAAAATGTACATTGTTAATCGATTTGGATCGATTTAAAATTGATTTAAAATCAATTTAAATCGACCGGAAACAAATTTGTCAGTGCGGAGCCCCTCACACATTTCACCCTCATTTGCAATCGAACTTTGTGTATGAAATATTAGGGGTGAATTGTTAAAATAAAACTATGAGGGGCCAAATGCTTGAGGCTCGAAACGTTTAAAAACTATAAAAATTGCAGTACAATATATAATAAAAAGGGCTCCTTTTTTGTTCTTAATAAGAATTGGCAAAATAAAATGTTTATTCGATGAATGCTAAAAAGAAAAATTAAAACGACACGGAAGTTATCTTAAAAAAATTGCTCAAGCAATATAAATATGAGAGTATTTTACTATGCTGCTGAAGTTAAAATTTGAATGTTCTTTTTTCAATTATGCAATTCAATATTTATGAATTTTAAGTAAAAACTGGAACGCATTTGTTATCAAAAATTATTGACGTTAAATTTAAAAATTAAAAAACTTCTCACCTTTTCGCATTTATCGCAGACAGAGATGAACAAATCTTCAAGACTCATTTTGGGCTATTTTACTGCGGGTTTTTTCAGTCGATAAATTTTGCAGATTTTCAGCAGATAAAATCCAACAAAAACATTCACTCTGTATATAGAGACAACAATTCTGCACTATAAAAGTAAGGAGGTAGAAGTCAAATTCCTCATTTCAAATAAACAGAAACTGAAAGTGCAATTTGAAGGCAATTTGAAACGAACACGCATACAACTCTATTCCAAGGAATTTTGCAGATTTGTTCCAAAAACCAGCATTGAAAGGGTAGCTGTTAATAATTCATAAACTGGTAAAAACTGGTAAACCCAAAACCCTTGGTTATAGGGCCAAGTAGTTTGTAAATTGACTAGAGGTTCCTATGGCTGTCAAAGCTGTTTCTGGCTGCTTTTGGCTCGAACTCAAATCCACCGTCGCCTGTGAATTTTCTGAATAATTTCAGCTATCACCAAAACTGGAATTGACGAAATTTCAAGAGAGACTGAAGGATTGCTAAGTTCATTCACGGAGTCTTTAATCGAGACAATTTGCAGTAATAAAACAGTTATAATGCTTTCGCGCTTCACTGGAGTTTGAAAGAAGACCTAACATCTTTATGAATAGTAAATTTACTAAGCCATGAATTATGGTGACTATGATCAGCATCCGTTCTGTAGTCGGTAATTGAACCTTTGGAGTCTATTGTAGTACGGATAGCAACGCGAGATCACACATTTGATGTTTTCCTAAATTGACGGCTGTTTTGGCGAGGACAACTAGCTGGCGACAGTAATTGTAACAGCAGAACCGAATCTTTTGTTTATGTTAGGCTCCTCGATGATGGATGATGGTAAATAAACTCCTCCTATTTGATTACAATCTATGAGCAAACAATTCTACAAAATGTTATAAATACTTGATTTTTTTTTTCAAATAAAATCGAAGTCGCCTCACCTGAGAGAAAGAATAGATTAGAATTTAAATTAACATAAAATAGAGGCTCTTTGCTGATAAAACGCTCCAAAACTAGGCCGAATTTCTGAAAAAGCGTTAAAAATAATTTGAAGTACCATTTTTCAAGCCACTTCACTTGTGAGTTATTATGGGGGACGTTGTCAGTTATTACATATGATTTAATGGTTGAATAGAATGTTAGCCGAATGGTGTCAAAGTATACAATTGAGCTGCGAGAAGCATTGAAATGTCCGGCCATTAAAGTTACCAACTGTTTCTGAATGGTAACAAAAGAAGTTGATCAGCAGAAAACGCAGCTGTTTGAATGATCACACAATTTGGCGCTTATACATCGATTTTTTTAAATGGTTTTTCTAAATTTTGAAAAGAAAAATTACACTCAAAGCTAGACAAACTATACTGTGAACCAATGATTAAAACAATGACTAACGGGGCGGAATGGCCACTCAAAACACCAACAACTTTAACAACAAAATTTAACCGACAAAGTTCTAACAGAGCAAAATTTACAACACTTGTCTGTTCTAACCAATTTTTTGCAATCATTTTATCGGCTAGCTTATTCATAATCCCTTTTAGCCATAAAAATGGTAGATAAATAGAAAATGTATATAAAAAATGAAACCAAAAATTCAAAAAAAACTCAAAAATTAGCGTTTCTATAATAATTTTTGAAATCCTAACCCGTAACAATTTTGGCCCAAAAAACAGCCCAAAAACCCAATTTGAGTAAAATATAAAAATAGCTAAATTATATGAAAACAAACTCAAGCGCTATTGAATCCGGTATGGTATATCCACTTTTTCCCCCGAAATGTAATATGCCTTCCATTTTTACGAGTAAAAAAGGCTTTTTTCGATTGTTTCTGAAGCAAATGAGTATTGAACGAGGTTTTTTTTCTTTTTTCCTTGAATAAGGATTAACGGAAAAAATATCTATATGTAGTGAAATTTTCTAGATCTTTTCGGGTTCACGAATGGACCGAATTTCTAGATGACAATAATGTCTTTTAAAATAACAACAGATGACAATTTTGTGACCTTGTCCAAGCTAACACACATGCCCGTATAATTTGGCATGTATCTTTCACCACTGCACATGAATTCATGAGTACCACAAATGACACAGTCTGACTCATCATTCTCCCCCAGATGACTCATTGTTCCCGTAGGGTCCCATTGTTAAGGGCAGAAGAGGAGTTACTGTCAGAAGATGAAGATAAGGAGGAGAAGTTAGATAGGAGTTGTTCTTCATCGTCGGAAGGATAACCAATGCAGTCTTTTTTCCCGTCACGTACCTGAAAAAAAACCTATGTTAATTTCCAGACTGCCCAGAAACACAAAACCAAACCTTCTAAGTATCACCAAACCAACACAGTTGAGTTTCCAAACCTGGTTTATAGGGGAGGAATCTTTGTTTTACCATGTTTTATACGGGGAGCGGTTATGAAGAGGCTAATTCTACCCTTCCAATCGAAAGCTTGAATTCTCGAAGCCCACTAATGATCCGTGCTCGTTGCTTGAGGGTGATGCAACCTTACCCAACCCAGAAAAATAGCCAAAAATTTGCGTGCAAATCATGAGCAGGGGCGCTTCAGCCGTCTCAACTGTGGTTCTCCGTGACAAGCTGATCAGCTCATATGATGGTGCTTTCCATCATGGATAAATAGGTTTAATTAAAATAAATTCGAATAGAAACTATTCAGATTCGAACTCCTGCTCCGGTGTCCGAGACAACTATTTTTCAACTAGAATAGCGAACTATGAACTCAAACTTCAACCGCTTTTTAGACTGAAGATCTAAAATAACAGAGACCCAGATTATCGACGAGATTAGATTATTAATTCAAAGAAATCATTCCTGAGTGGGCAAAGAAGTGGATGAATGAAATAAACAGTGATGATTATGACGATGATCCTGAAATTACATTACACTCACGAAGGACTTTGGAATGCAGATGAAACTAGTGGGACACTGATACTCTGTGCACCCATTGCACTGTCTCTCGCACTATCTCTCGTTCACACAGTAACTCTCTCGTGAGAGACAGTCACACTCCCCATCGCAATTTTCACTCTCGTCATAACAGAAGTCGCCGGAAGAGTCGCACGAGAAGTCATAATTGGAACAATCTGCAAAAATGATGTATTTTTTGAAAAACCATTTTTTTCGAAACCTCAACTCTCGAGATTTCTATTATTCTTTTGTTTTTTCAAGAGACCAAATCTGCAGCCAGTAAACCAACTGAATTAAAGCTTGAAAAATAATTGGCTAACTATGTTCTAAAAACAGGCAAAGATTTTTGCGTGAAGTAACAGACTATTCGCTTATTTGTGTCTGAAACTCAGACCATTTTTCCTCGACATTCAGACCTCTCTGTATTTTAGTAGAACTATAAATCAGGACCTATGGGGCTTCAAAATCAAAGCTTGGGCATACACGTTTTCTTTGAATCGGAACAAAAAAAATAATAATTCACTTACAAGCTATAGAATTGAACAAAGAAAAAAGAAGCTGTTCCAATTGAAAACATTACCTCCTGGGCTCAAACTTTACCATAGCAACTGGCCATAAAGCGCTAATCTCGGCCCTGGATGGGAATAGATCAAAAATAACATATCGACCTACATTGAAACGTTGGGTGGATAGGTTGCTGTTTTATCAGTTTGAAATAGTTCACATTCCGGGTAAAGACATGGGGATACTAGATTATCTATCCAGGGAATCAAATGAGGAACAATATTCCGAATCCGAACTTGACAAAAAAATTCAACTGGAACGATGAATTGACTTTCGCGACCGCCAAAACAGCAAAAAAACAGCTCTTTGCTGCAAAAAAAACAGCTTCAATCATTTTGACTTGAAAGTCAACTGGCAAAAAATCTCAGAAAAAAGCACATAAACAAAATGAGCAGTCAACAGAAAATGTACAATTGGTGGCCAGAAGCTACCAATTGTATGCTAATAATAGCGTACAAGCTACCAATAGCTATCATGAAGCTACCAATAGCTGCCAGAAGCTACCAATAACTACTATGTACAGCTATGGTGGCCTGAAGCTGAAGAAAGATAGAGGAAACAAAGCTGAGGTGAGAGTCAGAAATAAAGCAGAGGACAGAGTTTAAGGGATCCACGTTGGAACAATCTAGGAGCAATGCGAATGAAGTATACGAAGAAGTGGCAACTGAAACAAATCAGAGGACACGGGAAATGTTTAGGGGAAGTAGATGGAACAGAAATAGTAACGAGTCAACCACAAACAAGAGTCGAATTGGATCTGACCAACGAGGAGCAAAGAGCAGCAGACAACTGACTGCTGTCTTTTGGGAGAAATCGAAAAACTTTTTTAGAGAAAATTCTGAAGAAGGTTTTGAAGACAACCGACTCTTGAAAAAAGAAGGACGTCCACGCAACCATCACGCCAAATTAGACTTTTGTGTCAAAAGAATAGTTTTCATTTGTCAGAACAGCTGGTGGAAGAAGAATGCTCCAATCCACCGAATTTTCTTTGCGAAAGCCTACCTGCTGAACTTATATCTGAAGATGCGTGGATAGACAGACTCAGAAGAGTGGTGAAAAGAAACGACAAACAGGGATTTGAGCACATGGGAACAAACAGGAACCCGTTCTGGACCAGTTGACAGTGGTCGACGACTGCATCTTAGTCATCATTTGTCTTGCGGTCACAGTGCAGCTACGTTCAGCAGTCATGAAGAAGATCCACAGAGAGCGTCCGGGTCAGGAAGTAATGCTGGATGTGATATAAAAATCTTTGCAGAGGCATGTCGTAGCTGCACTAGATATGGTAAGAACATAAACCAGATCATCCTAAAAAGCGCCTCAAACCCCTTACCATTGCTCACGCAGCCGAGTCAAGAGCTATATTAAGAGGGTCCAATGGAAAACCAATAGGGAACAAATATACCTACTTTTGACAATTGACAGTTTTTCGAAATTCCAGTCAAAAAAATCACTAGTGATGTTTCTAAAATCATAATTTGACACTTGGAGGATTGAGAAAGACAACAAGAGATATTGAAGACGGACAAGAGAAAGACTCTTAATTGTCAGAAAAATAACATCGAGTCAGAATACAAGCCCCATGATTAACCAACAAGTTTCCACAGCGAGGGAAAAGGAATAGATGAAAGTGCTAAAGGATCCACTAGATGTAAAAGCAAAACGCAATAAGAGACGACGGGTCGTGACACAAAACGAATCATAGACCTCACAGTTCAATCAAACTTGAATGGAAAAGAGCTGAACTACTCTGGGCCCCTGGAAGAGAGGGTTCACCGAAGATAAAATGGGAGACACAACCAAATTTTCAAACAAATTAGTACTCAGGAAAAGTGAGAACAGAAGCAGTGGAAAGGCGCTCATCAAACTAGTGATGGGTAATATAGAGTCCGAAATGGACTCAATTATAAAATATAAAAAAAACGCTTTTTTTTAAAAAAAAAGTCGTAGCGTACGCAACAAAATTTATGCAAAACGACCCTACCAAGGGTTCTAGCTGGAGTCCAACTGCTGATTTCAAAAAGAACTGTCAAAACCAGCACACAGGAATGACTAGAAGAGAGTGACTCGGTTGAAGACGAAAGAACCGCAATTTCGGATTGAACGCTCCCAACACAGCCAAACGAAAGTAAATTCAGAAAGACGACAAAAGGGGTGGTCCAAATCTGATGAAGAAACGCGCTAAACCAAACACAGGAGGGCCAAAATTATCAGTTGGCCTAAAAACTCAGGAGGAAGCCATACCGAAACAGTCAGAGAAGAGAAAGCCCACAGTGCAAGAAGCCATGAGAGAAAAGGCTGCAATTTCAGCTACAGACAGTCCGAAGACAGAGAAAGATGGTGAACCAGAACGAAGAGAAGACAGCCAATCAAGTTCAAGCCAAAGAAACCGCCGCCACCACGAAAAAAAAATAAAAAAGTTATATAACTCGACCAAACCGGCAAACAGAGCGTACAAATTTCAGATTAAGGACCTCTTAGTTCCCGAATGGGAAAAATGGCTGATCATGTGATGTACTGAGGCTTTGAAAAGTCGCGGATGAGGCAACGAAAAAAACGATTCGCCAACGGAGGGTCGGACGTCCTGAGCATGAAAGATCAGGGGGTCTGCAAAAGGGGTACCAAAAAAGCAAATAATCTCAAAGATTCGGAGACCCAATGAAACACTCAGTGCATGAAGTGTCCGAGAAAGATTTTTGAAGGGGAGGCCTACAGCTTTGGCGAAATATAGAAAACGTCTAGACAATTTCAAATTTAGATTTGACTATGCAATTGAAACCAGACTAAAACGACACTCATTCCAGAGGAGTTTCGAATACGCAACTCTTCATAAAGGTGTTCCATGGATCCTGTTCTGGCAAATCATGCGAAAAAATTGAGAAGAGAGAGGACAAATCAAAAATTTTGCAATCTTAAGCTAAAGTGAGTACAAAACTACTGAGTGTGGAACTCCTGAAATTATTATTATGAATTTTTTTTTACATAAATTAGTTTCAAAAACTTCTGCCAAGC